TACTCTTCAGATTGTTTTATTTCTGTACTTCAAGCATGACAGTGACCTCAAATTGTACCAGTTTTAAGGATTGATCATACAGAGACAGATGACATAGTAGAAAATGCACTGAACTGGTGTTGAAGAAATGGGTGTGGCCTCTATCTTGACTGCCCCTTCCTGCCAGAATGACTTTGGGCAAAGTCTTTCACTTCTCTGGGCCACAGTTTCTCCATCTGTTAAAATCACTGAGTTGGCCTAAAATGAGCTCTAAGGTTCCTCCCAATTCAAACTTTCTACAGTACTCTGCCTCACAGACCCACTCCAACCAAGATGGGATCCTAGAGATTCAGATTCAATGTGGTACTCTTCTTAGGTCCCTAGGTGTTTCCAGGAGTAATAAATGTTCCAGAGGAGGCCCAAGATTTCTGCCAAATACTCTCCATACTGTCATTTAAGCCCAGGGCTTCCTGACACTGTTATTTGAAGTTGTTTGTCCTGACTTCAGTCCTGGTAATTTCTCAGCTTTAATAAGGGTCTTTCCTAGTAGGGAAAGACCTGATGTCTGTCCAGACCATCAAAACTCATGGTTGGAGCAGTCATTGGGAGGACCCAGTGTAATAATCTTACATATTCCATCTACAGGGATGAAGGACGTATTTGAACAGGCATCTGTACTGTATTTCTCTCTCAGTGAATTCCCTTTTTAGAATAGGATAGTAGAAATTTATAGGATTACAGGGAGAAATATCCATAAGAGCAACCTGTCATTTATATAAATCACTTGAAATGAAATTAAAGTGTGGTATTCAGGGGAATTGTAGTTTAAGGAATCAACCCAAAGTTTAATTTGAAGAATGTTTTTAGTATGTTGTGTATCTGGGTGAGTCTATCAAGTGAACATGAAGTCAAGTTTTTCTTGATTGATCATTTTAAGGTGGAAAATAGAAAGTTACATGAGAACTTAGCATTTACTCTGCCAATATGTTATGCAGTAGAAAAGAGTTGGGACTTAGAAGTAGAATAAGAGAAATGGTTGTAAGTTTGAAGACAGGTTTTCCAGTTGAGATCATTTATCCCCACTTCTGAATTCCAAAGGAGATTGTTCCAAACACCATTGAGCCCTGGCTGGACTGAGACTGTTCCCTACAGACTCTATGATGATTGCCTGAGGCTGCCCTGGAAAGGAAGTAGGTTTGGGGCAGGTTCAAACAAGAGCTCTTTGATCCAGTTGGATTGGAGTGTTAGAATGGTGAAGTTTCCAGAGCAGTCCTAGGATAAGGCACTGGGGAGGGAGTTATTAGATGTGTGTCACCAAACTGGAACTTTTGGGTAAACAGGAGGGATGCGTATAGGAAAAGATAATGAAATATTATTAAAAGCATTTGGGTCTCCTAACCTGTCATGCTTTTTAAGACTATTTTTTCTTGATTTATAGTAATAGACATGTATGTTGTGTTCTTGCACTGTGAGCAACAGTGGCTGTGCCTTATGCTTTTTGTTATTAATCTTTTAGTGATGAACCAGCATGAAGTAATTTATACACAGAGAATGTTCCTATTTTAACTAAAAATTACCAAATAACCCATAAGGAAATTAACCTTACCTAAAAGTTCTCAAACTATTAGATTAAAGACTTAAATATAAAAACTAACTGTAAAACTCTTAAAAATAACAGGGGTACATCTTTCAGAACCTTGGATTCAGCAGTGGTTTCTTATATATGACACCAAAAGCAAAGGAACAAAGGCAAGAAAGATAAAATGGACTTCATCAAAACTAAAAATTATGTACATCCATGAACTACCAAGAGAGTGAACATACACCCCATAGAATGCAAGAAAAGATGTGCAAATCATATATCTGATAAGGGTCCAGGATCCAGAATACATAAAGAACTCTTACAGCAAACAATAGGAAGACACACACACACACACACACACACACACACACACACAAACAGTTAAAAAGTGGGCAAAGGACATTTTTCCAAAGAAGATATGCAGATGACCAACATGCACATGTAAAGATGCTCAACACCAATAGTCATTAGGAAAATGCATATCAAACCTGTAATGAGATACCATTTTATACCCAGTAGGATGGGTCCTAACAAAAACAAAACAATGCAAAACCAGAAATAAACAAGTATTTGTGAGGAGCTGGAGAAATTAGAACCTTCATACATTGCTGGTGGGAATATAAAATAGTACAGCTAGTATGGAAAACAATTTGGCAGTTCCTCAACAAGCTAAGCGTAGGATTGCCATATGACCTACTAATTCAATTCCTAATTATATACCCCAAAAAACTGAAAGCAGACATTGAAACAAAAATTTGTTCATGGATGTTTATAGAAGTGATATCACAATAGCCAAAGTGGAAATATCAAAATGTCCATCAATTTACAAATAGATAAACAAAATGTGGTATATCCATACAATGGAATATTATTCAGCCATAAAAAAGAATGAAGTATGATACATGCTATAACACAGAGGAACCAGGGCGCCTGGGTGGCTCAGTCGGCTGTGCATCTGACTCTAGATTTTGGCTCAGGTCATGATCTCATGGTTTGTGGGATTGAGCCCCACATCAGGCTCCACACTGACAGCATGGAGCCTGCTTGTGATTTTCTCTCTCCTTCTCTCTCTGCCCCTCCCCAGCCAAATAAATAAATTAAAAAAAAAAATGAGGAACCTTGAAAACTTGAAAACATTATTCTAAGTGAAACCAGCCAGACATAAAAGACTACATATTTTATGATTCCATTTACATGAAATATCCAGGCTAGAAGGATCCATCAAGACAGAAAGTAGTAGTTATCAGGGGCTGGGGAGAGAAGAATGGGGAGTTCCTGTTCAAGAGGCATGGGGACTCCATTCAGGGTTATGAAAAACTTATAGAACTAGATAGTGGTGGCATTGTGACTGTATTGAATGCCAGTAAATTATACACTTTAAAATAGTTTAAAATGGGGGTGCCTGGATGGCTCAGTCAGTTAAGCCTCAGACTTCAGCTCAGGTCATGATCTCACAGTTCGTGAGTTCAAGCACTGCGTCGGGCTCTGTGCTGACAGCTTAATGCCTGGAGCCTGCTCTGAGTTCTGTGTCTTCCTCTCTCTCTGCCCCTCCTCTGCTCATGCTCTGTCTGTCTCTCTCTCTCAAAAATAAATAAAAACTTTAAAACATGGTTTAAAATGGCAAATTTCATATTTTGCATATTTTACCACATGCATGTATGTGTGCACACGCGCACATGCACACACACACACAGACACACACACACACAAGAAATTTCTAAACTTATATAAACCTTGTAGAAACCCTGGTAATGAAATACCTTTGACAAATGAACTCAGATTTGCCAACAGATTGTATTTCAAGCACAGCTTTGGGACTGGGGAAAGTTTCTGGAAGTGAAAATGTACGTGACTGAGAGTCAGGAGTCCTATGTCTGGTCCAGGCACTGCTGTTATGTGGCAAGGGGCAAGTCATGTAAACTTTATGGGCCTCCATTAGGGGACCTGGACAAATTCTCTCAATCATGTGTGGGACCTTTTCAAGCTTCGCATATCTTCATTCACTCTGCCTCCTTACCCAGTATGAAGGGTAGAATATTTCAAACAGAATGCTCTTCCACCAGGTGAAGGGGGTGAGGTGGCACACACAGGGGTGGTTAGGGTACAAAGGTGTGCTCTTTGGCAAGCCTTTGCAATATTCCCAAATCTTGGAGCCAATTATGGTACTCCTCATATTTCTAAGACTACAGGAAGTAGGTTCATTCATTTCTTCATACAATGTCCACTAGCCAACATTTACTGCACATACTCAGGACAATGTGAAGCACAGCTGAAAGACCCAGAGCCCCTGAATTTGTGGAGTGTATGTTCTGTGGGGAGGAAGTATCATGAAATAGCTAGTTACTGAGTGTGATGAGTGCTCTGAAGAAGTAAATGCGGCTGAGGATGAGTACTCCAGGCTTAGCTACGGCTGCTCTGAGGAAGTCCTGGTTGACCTGTTATCTACAGGGCGACTTGGAATTAACCAGGAAACCCAGGAAGGGGCACATTTGCTTCCCTGATGGAGAGAGAACTGTGAAGAGGATGGGAGAGTGGGTTTGGAGAAGACTATGAAGACAGCCTCGTTCTAGAATGTCACGCTGAACTGTGGGCAGCCTTGTTGAATTAAAAGGCCAGGGGAAGTGGCTCCCTGAGACCACAGTGGGCACTTCTACCAGCAGATGCTGCTTTCATGTCCCCACCATACCACTTCCTGTGCTCTGAGCTATGGAACCAGCAGTAACCACACAGCATTTCTGGAACTTAAAATGCTCCCCAGTGTCGGCTCTGACCTGAAGCCACCATTCCTCAGAGTCCTTAACATCTCCACAGCACAGGGCAGTGTGGGTCACAGAACAAGTGGCTGTGGAGTATGACACCCAGCATGCTGTGCGAATGTTGAGAGGATATTTCTCCTTTTGGTCTTTCAGTTTTCTGCTCATCAAACCAGTAAATCTGGGCTTTGAGGATGGTGGAACTACCAGACTTTTACGTAAAAAGTGAGGACAGACTTTTACTTAAGCCTTAGCAAGCCACTGGACTCGGCAAAGCCATTGCATGTATTTGGTAGGTGAACTGGTTCCACTTTTGCAGTGGAGGCCACATTTCCACACATTGGTAGAGCCCAAGGTGAAGAGCTCACACCTGTCTGTCGACTGCTATCCTCCCAGAAGCCTGCCCTGCCAAGCATGGCCATGACTGGAGGGCCCCGAGCTAAAACTCAGGTGTATGCAGTGCTCCTGGCTGACCTGTCCACTGTGCCACAGAGAGGAGGGGAGCAGTCATAGCCGTGACTCGTGCTGCCCCATAAAGGAAAGGAGCTCATCAGTAAGCCCCACTTCAGGCATCCCCGGTCCAATCTCAAGTTTAGAAGCTTATGTGTCATCTTTTCTTTGTAACCATAAATCTGTGCTCTCAGGCCTAATTCTGTTGTGGTTTTTTTTTCTCCCTTTGCTTTCAGGAGAGTAGATCTGGAGACACAAACAGCTGTGTTGAAGAAATAATTCGGGTAAGGAGATTTTTTTTTTCTTTTTACAAATCTTACCAATTGATTGGACTAGATCCCAAATAGAAGGAGGCATGTGGCTGTGTTGTCCAAGGAGCCTATTGTTTGCTTCTTGTTTGAGGTTTACCTTTTCTGAAGGCAATCATATAAGTTGTCCAAATGCCGCTTTACAAAAGCAATTCTTCTTTTAGAAATCTAGGAGTTACACATCAACCCAGTGCCTTTGTACAGGCTGAGGTGACACTGTATTAAAGTGATCAGCTGGGAGACAGAAGAACAGAGTTGAGATGAAAAATATGGTTGTGCTTACATTTGGATGCCCCCATTTGTCAGCCTACTATTTAAAAGCATCCTTTAATAGTCCTTACTTCCCAGTCAGGCAAGGGTTGCCTTGTTAGTTTTCTCCTAAACTTAATTAGAATCAGAAGCACTCTGACAAAGAGGTGATGCTCACTGTCTGAAAATTTATTTCCATATTGTTTTGCATCTTACCGTTTTTGCCTATTACTGTCTGACACTGTCCTTTTCATCATCATCATCATCATCATCTCTAGTAGATACCCTCCATGAACCAGTTTCACACCCAGATTCACTTAAGCTGGGCTCTCCTGCCATATTAGTGTTTTCTTGAGCATTCAAACTTGTAATCAGGATGTCATCTTCAACCCATATTTTTTCTTCACTCATATTTATTCAGGGGAGTGACCTAATAATTTACATTCTCAAAAAGCTGATATTACACTGGGAAAAACACCAAGACAAATTAGACCAGATGGGATGGCAATTCCCTATAAAGAAAAAACCTTTATTTTAATACGTTTCTAACTTTTGGACATCCTACACACTTTTTCCTGAATTGCTAATGAATGACAATAATATAATTATTTGGTTTAAAAATTTACATTAATCATCACATTGTTTTCAGAGGCAGACTTTTTTCCTTCCTGGAGAGCATTATTTCATAAACCTTTTAACTCTCAAGTTAACCAAAATAATTAATTGAAGTTTGATCTGTTGAGTTCGTAATGATTTTTGTTTTTCTGGCAGAGGTTAATATAGAAAACAGTTGTCAAAGTGGGTAGCTTCATTTCTGGCATTTAATATATGTTAAATAAAATACATATTGTATTTTATATCTGTATTATCTCTAACCTGGAGCTTTGTTTCAGATTAAACAACAAATAGTGTGAAGTGCTGATATACTTGTCCTATTTCTCTTTTGACATACTTTCACGTTTGGAACCCAAATATTCAGTGATAAAGCCATCTTCCTTTGATTGGTTATGGTATTTATGTCAGCAAAATGCTAATAGCAGTACACATCTCTCCTTTGATTTCACTATTTTTAAAATCCGACCCCTTCTTATCCTTTCTTATCTTTTCTGAGGTTATGGTAGAAATCTGTCATTTGACCTTTCTTTGCCACACTCCAAACAAGGCTTAAAGTGTGAATACAGGCTTGAGCAATTCACACACCAAAACGGTATAGTTTAGGTAACATAAAATTCACTTAAACTGAATGCTGCCGTCAAGAGGTTTAAGGCATTTTTTTTTTTTTCAGAAGAGGGCTGAAGAAAGCCTTATACCCCCTCATCCCACTCCTACTTCCTGATATTGCCCCTCATATTCCACTGGCACTGGCACTGCCATAGCCACAGCCTGCCTGGAATCAGTCATGGAACAAAAGGGAAAGTCTGGACCAACCAGATCATTGATTTGTAAGCATGTGCAAAGGGCAGTGGAGATGATGAACTCATCAGAAGATAGCTGAGCTCTCTTTAATGTTCTGATCTTCCTAGAGCCCATGATGAGTGGTCCAGGATGGGAGATAGCATAGGGTCAGAGGAAACAGAGGTGATAGTGGTGCTGGTGTTGTCCAGGTGGGCCTTTTCTCTGTCCTCACCTGTCAACCTGTGGTGTTAGTAGCCTTAGTTGTTGCTGAGGGAGCTCCTAGATGATCATGCCAGTATTCCCAGTTTTGCCTGGAATGTTTTCCTGGCTGTCCTCTGCCTCGCTCACACCAGTCCTTCTTCAGGGCTGTCTTCCCCACTTGTCCTAAGCATGTCCTCTCTTCCAAACACAAGCACAGGAGGCCTTCTCTGTTACAGCCTATTGTATTTATTGTGTCTCTGCCAGATGTCATATTCCTCCCACACCATGGCCCCGATGTCTGGAATTGAGAATCAGGATCTTGTTGAATGAATAAATAAATAAGTGAAGGAAGGAAAGAATCCTCCAAGGGAGAAGGAAGAATATCATTGTGATAGCTCACAAACAGATTCCATTTACTCTAAATCATGGGCATGACGTATTGGCTTAAAAGCAGTGGGTTCCCATGGATAGGTAGTCTTTATGGAGCCCAGTTTTCGTTGTCACTTTCTCTCCCCTTATGATCAGCGAGGTAAACCTAATGTGGTCCAGGTCACCAAGGTACTTGGTACTTATAGCCATCTCTCTCTCTTATTGTGGAGAATAAGCAGGTCATAAAGGCGCCTTAAAATAATGAAAATTGAGATATTCATTTAACAAGTGTTAGCATGTCCTTTCCATGTGGGAGGTACAGGGAGAACAGGCCAAACAGACATGACCCTTTTGAAACCAGTGATGTGCTGGAAGATATAGATACTAAGTTTTATTTGTAATCTTATAAATAAATGTCTAATATTAATTGTGACGAATACTCAGCGTGACTCTAATTTTAGGTCTTTCATGAGGAAGCAACATTTGGACCAATAGTTGGAGTTTGAATAGAAAATTGGTATAGGAGAAAAATGTTGAGGCTGCCAGCAGAGGAACAGGAATAGTTTGGCTGGTTAGGGACCCACAAAGGGCAGTGAGCCCAGAGTGGCTAGAGTGTAGGTGGGAAAACTAGGCAGGAGAAGCCAGGTAGGGCTGTTTCTTCTCAGTCATGTTTAAGATATGTGTAGGGGAGCCAGTGAAGGAGCTGAGCCAGAGTAACGTTATCAGATTAGCTGTTTAGACACTCTACTCTGACTGCTTTGTGGAATGGATTGAGAGGAGAAGGGGAAGAAAAAAGAGGAGAGGCTGTTGCAGCTGTCCAGATGAGAGATGCTTGGTGGGGCGCTCACGGGCATGGAAACATTGAAGGAGATGCTGGTTTGAGGGGGAGGGATGAAATAATTAATTTTCTGACATGTTGAGTTTGCACTACCTTTGAGGCAATCCAGTAAACATGGAGAATGTAGATGAGCATACATCCGTCTGGGGCTCAGAACAGAGGTCTAAAGCTGCAGGCTAATTTTGTTGGTAATAAAAGCACAGAAATAGGTTAATCTACCCAGAGAGAGGAGAGACCGAGAGGCAATGAAAGCTGAAATTCAAACGTGTAAGGGTCAGGGAGAGTAGGATCCCCTTGCAAATGAAAGTAAGAGGGCATGACTCAGGAAGTCGAGGAGTAATAATGGCCATGGAAAGTCCCAGAATCCAGGGAAAGAGAGTTTCAAGCTCAACAGTGTACAGGATTTCTGAGGGGAGAAGAGAGACAAGAATTGAAAACCACTCTATGGATTGGACAACAAAAAGCTCATCAGTGGTTTTACTGCATGCTGTTTCTGTGGAGTAGAGGGGGCAGCATCCAGACAAGAGAAAACTGAGAATATAGCATCAGTGAGTTGAAAGAACTTTTATGAGGAAAGGCCATGGTTCCCATTCAGGGCCTTTCCATCTGCAATCAATCCTATAGATAATAACAGGTACCAAATGATGAAGAGCTAACATTTGTGGAACATTTATTACAAATGAGGGACTGTTCTCAGTTTCTTGCTTGTGTTAACTCATTTAACCATCACAGATGCCCCATGAGTCAGGCACTGTTAACATCCCCATTTTACAGAAGAAGGAAGTTAAACACAGCTTGCCCAAAGTCATACAACTAGAAAGTAGTAGAGCTGGGATTTTAACGAGCACAGTCTGGCACCAGCACCCTCTCTATCTTATCTATCAAGCTTTCTTATTTAAATGAAGAAGTCCCCCTGGCTCAATAATGAAACCACTCAGGCATTTTGCCATGAAAGGGAGGTTTCCCATTTCCACATGTTTATGATTCAGAAGTGCCAGATCATGCATTTGTGCACTTGAACTCACAGAGGTTTTATGGCCAACGTTATCAACCTCATCTTTAAACTTCTTCTTCCTTTCCTCTCTCTTATTTTTGCTGAGGTGACTGTTTTCAAGCCATTTGAATATTACATTATATTCTAAAGTGTAATTATTTTTTACTCTTACTCAGAGAATTTTAACCCTGGGACCTAATAAATCTGTGTATTATTGCAAAATTCAGTTAACCGAGGGAGAAATTATAACTGAGTTCTATGAAGATGGGCGACACAAGCTAGGAACCCTCATGACTGACATATGTTTGTAAGAGACAGTTTTTTAAGTTACACTATATTTCATTCTTAAAGGTTCCAGTGCTGTAATACTTAGGTGCTTTCTGTAGCATTATCCATTAATGTAGAATGGCATTAACATTTGTTCAGCAAATAAAATCCGTTTACAACTTAATGGGGTTGTGCAGGGCTAGAATCTAGGATGCACAAATTTTATGCAAGACAGCTTTAGATGGAGTTGTTGAGGAGTACTACTCATAGCGTGGTGAGCCTTCCTAATAAAGAAACCAATGATTGAGATTCTGGTTTGGGCTCAAAGGATGAATTTAGAGACAATTTCCACATAACATCAGAGCCGATTATCTTCTTAGTTTTCATCTTTAGTCACTAATTCAGTTCCAACTTCATAGAAATCTTTATAGTGAATATTTACATAGAGTTGCATTTCTGTTGGTAGGAAAAGGGTAACTGTTACTTGTTTGAATTCTGGAGACCCACATCAATTTCTTGACACTACAGTTGAACAACTTCTAGCCCAAATGGAAACTCCTTTCCTAGAAAGTTAAGGAGCCTGCTGGACAAGATTTTTGGTTTTGATTCTGGGAGATCTGTGAGTGAGGAAAGCATTGAAAGCACCATCGTATGACGTGCACA